TGGCATCGTTTCACTTACCCTTAAAAAAAATTGTTTCACATGTTCCTTTTGGCATTGCATGTTCAGTCTTCACATGTTACATGTTCTGACTGAGGGACCGAGAGAGAGAGAAGAAGAAGAGCATTGGCATTGACAAACATTGTCTGCGTTGCTGCTTGTGTCACATGGGGACATGTATTGGTTTCGCGTTTTGATTCCTTACATTGCTTCGCATACGCCGTGCCCAGGCTACAAACAAAAGATTGCATGCGTCAGCACTCATTGCACAACGAAAACTCGCCCTTACAAGCAACAACACATTGACCACACGCAACAACGCATTGTACAGCAGCATAGTGTTTAGAGTAGAACCTCTCTAACTAGCACATTGTACATAGATTGATTCTTTCAAGTTTTCCCAGTAATTTATTTTCTCCTTTAGGATTTTCCGATTTTCCTTTTAGGTGAATTGTGATCTTGGAAGTGCTTTTGGGAATTTGTCTTTTGTTGCATTCTCTGCTGTGATTGCAGTCACGAGAGCATTCCTTTTGGGCATTGCGCACCTCCGAAGCCTCATTGCTGCCATGGACAACGCTGCAATTGAGAACAGTTGCGGCATTGTGGCGTCCCAAGGTGTTGGGATTGAGCTCAGGAGGACGGCGTTGGCCAACCTTGAGCGATTGGTCATGCTGGCCATTGGTCGGTTCGGACCGGAAGCCTTGCTCTGGACCCTATTGGCTTCCATTGTGAGTGCCCTTCCCCTTGAGGAGGAGATCACATTGTCGCTGATTGGCGCACACCCGCAAGAGACTGGGGTATTGGCCTTGGCGGAATTGATGACGCGGCTCGAGATCATGATTGATCGTGTCACGTCCGCCATTGTGGCCCGGACCCGCCAGATTCCGCAACTGGCATTGGATCCGCTGCGTGTCCTGAATTGCCGATTTGCAATGGCACCATTGCCCACGGGCAACGACCGTTGGTGCAGCATGAGCTTGAAGGTCAAGATGATCATTGAGCGTTGCGCGGCAACCATTGGTGACACATTGGATCTTTCGACGGCCATTGGCTCCTACACTGCATTGCCTCACATGGACTGGATAAAGGCATTGGTTCAGCAGACGACCATTGTGAAGACATTGGGAGCTGGACGCTATGACGACACATTGTCCAACTTGTGGGCAATTGTTTGCCTGCCTTTGAGTCTGATCAGGACATTGGTGGGCATTGATGGCGATGACGCAGATGGAGTCATTGAGATGGACTGGGATTGCCTCCCATGCCGCCAGATCAACATCGCCTTCTCCATTGAAGGAGCAGTGGCAAAACTTGCCCATTGGGTGAGGCAGAACCACTTGGAAACCCATTGGTCCGAGGCCGCTGCATTGGTCTTTTTCAGGCCAACGAAGGCCTTTATGGCCCCGATTGCGAAGAACCCCAGCTTCATCGGGGGTTTAAGCTTACTGTTCGCGAGCGAATGGTGTTTTATCGATTGCTACCAAAATGTCTCTAAGAAAAACGGTGTGCCGTTTGGTCTTGGTTTGAAGCCCAAAAGTTTCTGATGCTTGTCATGCTTGGTACTGCCAACGACAATTTGCAACTGCATTTACTGGAAGATGTGTGTGCAGCACTGGCTCCACAGCTCAGTGCGAAAATTTTGACCCGCCCAGCCCACCCAGGGCATCACAATAGCAGGGCCCGCTGAAGCGGCTGCAACTCCCTGCGTGCCATAGGCACTCCCATTAGTGTTGCATGTACAGCTACCTCGCCCTCAAAGGGGGCTTGAGGTTCGCTAGTGTGTGGTGAGACGCATGTGCAATGTATGTGCACCGCACTGTGTGCACCGGCACATGATAGGATGCGATCTTTGATTCGCCCACTGATGAAAAAGGTGAAGGACATGCAGTGCTTGCTTTGTGTCTTGCGTTTCTCCTTGTTTGGGCTCTTGGCTTTTGGGTTCAAACCCAATTTGGTGCAAGCGGTAAGCAATTGGCACAATCAGTCGTATGTGCCCGCCACTACGCTTATGGTGGCAAGCGACTTCTCATTGTCGCCATTGCAGCGGGACCTGGCTTTTGTGGTGGAATTGGGCTGCACGGCATTGGATCTTGCGTGGGCGATTCACCAGGATGCCATTGCGAACCCGATTGGCTTTCAGATGGGCTTCACGCGGTCCATTGCCTACCCCAAGGCATTGAGGGATGTCTTTTCGATGTGCGGCATTCACGAGGATATGAATGAAGTGGAGATTGGCGGCAGTGCCAACCGCACATTGGAGCATCGTGGCTCGGTGCCAGACGCAGTGCCATCCATTGGCACGACCATTGTGGTTCCGAACGGAAGCCACGTCACCATCGGCTAGACGATGGATTGCCAGAGTGCAACAATTTTGATGAGCTGCTGATTGGCATTCGACATCGTTTGCTGTGGTTCTGGATCTCAGAATTGCCTCGAGCAATACATTGACTGGAATTGGCAGAATCGGTGGCTGACTCCTTCAGCTGTGGTGCATTGCCACTCGTCACGACGTGATGTTGCTTCCATGTGGCATTGTACAGTCTTTTGAGCCGGATTCTTGCAGATTTACATTGCAGTTCCGATGTGCAAAAAGGATTTGAGCCTGAGCAGTTGAGTCGTGTCCTATTGTTGCTTCTTTTGAGTGAATGATGTTGATATATTTTGGATGGAGTTTGAATTGTTTCGAGAATCTGACCTGATGCGAATTTGCAATGAATTGCGAATTCGAGGGACCGTGTTAGGATGATTGGTCAGATCACCTTTGTATCCACACAGAGATGCATTGGTCATCAGAGGATTGCTGGATCAACTTTGGCTCAAGTCGGAAAACATTGAGCTCGAGTGATTGCATCACACAGCAGAGTTGGTGCTTGTGATTGTGCTTGATTGAGTTGAGCAGTTCTGAGATCACCTGATTGAGTAGACGATTTCGCTTTTGTAAAATTTCATTAAAGGGGGGCTTAAAGGGGGGCTTAAGCCCCCCTTTGCCCAAAGGGGGGGGGCCCATCCTCACGTCATGCCTACACTGTGGCTGACCGATTGAAGAGAAGGCTTGACCGATCAGATATCTCCAAGTCTCAGTTCGGGGATTCGGCCTTTCCAAGCTCGTCCTCAAGAAAGCAGACGCAGTCAAGCGGTCGCTCATGCGAGAGACAACGTCGAGTGCATCTGACTTTTTTACCTCACAACCACACGCAGCTTGTGCTGAGACGCATCGAAGTGCTTCTTACCAGTTCCATCCCACGTTCGAACTTCTGCAAACTTTGTTGCAGGTCGTAAAACAACCTCGCCGAAGCGTTCCAGGTTGGGCCGCCTGACACAAGTGCCCAGTGGTTTGTGCTACAATGGGGACCTGAGGACCTGTGAAATCTACTGAACCTGGGACACCTGGCAATAGACCCACGGTGGTCCATGTTGCAATGAGGACCTGAGGACCTGTGACATCGGACAAGACCCACGGTGGTCTGTGCTGCAATAGGGACCTGACAAGAACCTACGGCATCTGCTGAACCTGGGACAGCACAAGACCCACGACGGTCTGTGCTGCAATAGGGATCTGAGGACCTGCGTCTGCTGAGCCCCAGGTGTGCGCGGAGGTTGGGATTCACCCTTGAAGTTCCCCTTTAGGCTATTCCCTCAAATAACGCAAAAAAATGCTGTGATTAGCAGAGAATTGCAGCAGAAGTGGATGCATACAGGGGGAGCGGGCAGGAAGCAATGAATTGCAAAAAAACCGGATCCTGGCAGGCATCGATGCCGTGAGAGAAAGGGCTTGTTTATTTGTGCGGAGTATTCTGGTCTCTTAAGAGAGGTTCAGAACAAAAAAGGGCAGTATGCAATGAAGGAGGTGTGAAAGGTTATTCTGGCCCCGTTGCACGGAGTTTCGGAATCGGCAAGAGGGGGGGAAATTCCAAAACCTGCAGTTACGCTGAGGGTCCTTTAGTGGCGTGGTGGCAGTGGGCGTGTGCAGGTTTGTGCATTTTGGGTTTAGGTTCGCTGCTTCGGTTTTCTGGTCTGCCTCTCACTTTTGTGACAGTGCTAGTCGCAGCATGGGGCGGAGGCCTTATGTGTCAGTACTTACCTGGTAGGGACGCTCTTGTTTCAAAGTGCCTGGAACAGCCTGTTCATGCTGGAGGAGTGCCCTCATGTTGGAGTGCCAGCAGTGAGTAGACCCTAAGCTGCTGCCTAAAAATTCTTTAGAAGGCCCAGAAGTATTAGCCCAAGGGGAAGCCCAAGAACAAAGGAAAGCCCAAGGGCCGAGCTGTGGAAGACAGCAGTCTGATCAGGTGATGGCGCTGCGGTCTCATCATCTGAGATCGAGCGACTGAACCAGTCGTCCTCTAGGAATAGCTTTTTCGCATGGCTCATTGACAGTGGAGCCACCTGCCACGTGTTGTCAGAGAGTGCGTTGGGTTTTTACGAAGTCGTCAAGGAGCATTCGGGACCTCTTCCTGTGCTCATGAGTGAAAGCGATACGCCCATGGAGTGTGTCAAGTTGGTTGACATGCGGGTGAAGTTTGGGAAGTTGGGGCCCGTAGTGCTTCAACAGGTCTTGGTTTGCAAGATTGGTTTCAACGCAATCAGTTCTTGGCAAGCGTCCCTCTCGGGATGGAATACCTGGCTCACTTCGGAGCCTGGAGCAAGCTGCTTAGTGAAGCAGACGGAACGAGGTTCCTCGATGTGGGTGCCTTTGGTTCGAAAGGCCAGGAGCTGGTGGGCGTTAGCTAAGGAGATTGGCTCACTAAGGCAAAGCCGAAAGAAAGAAAAAAGGAAAGGGGACTGTCCCCTGCAAAGTGAGCCTGCGGATACTGCCATCGACCTTGATTGAGCAGTTATGGCAGATGTAGATGATGATGACAGCTTTAGTGATGGAGGAGGACAAAGGGGAGCCGAGGGTGGTGGAGCACATCCCGTTAGGGTACCCGTTCTCTCCTGTTGCAGCCTCACCTGCTGCAAATGCCAGTCCTAGGGAAATAGTCCTTTGTGCCGGTGAGTTCCAGAAGATGCTTGACACTTTGCAGATGGCCAGCCAGGCCGTTTTGGCCTCAGCTGCGAAGGCTGGTCCTTCGGAGAGCAAGGGTTCATCATCGACTGCAGGTTTCTCAGACGCCAACTGCATACTCAACAGTCCATCGTGTTTTGGGAGCTTGTCTCATGACTATGACCTCTCAGCATGGTTTGATTGGGCGCATGCATTCAAAGCATGGCTTTTCTTTGCAGATGCCCGATATGAAGGCGATTTGGAAACCATAGAGCGTAACCTGCAGGTTGAGAACCCCGCTATGCCCCCAGATGTCACAGAAAGGTCTCAGAGGCTTTACGCAATCCTCAGCAGTCTTCTACTTCACAAACCAAAGATTCTTCTCCGGCAAGTCCCCAACCGCAACGGACTGGAGACCTGGCTCCAACTAGTCAACATATACTCCCCTAAGTCAAAAGTGAGGGGACCAGCACTTCTCAACACGATCGTGAGCTTCCCAGCATTCAGCAAGGATCGGACGATCCGCGAACAGGTCGACGGTCTCGACCGGGTAGCGCAGGAGTACGAGCGGGTATCGGGCCTTGCCGTATCTCCCGACATCATGCTTGGCACTCTTGTCCGGGTTCTTCCTGCGCACCTCAGAAACCACATACAGCTGCAAATGTTCCTGAGCCAAACTTGAAAGCCCGATTAAGCCTAAAAAGCCTAAGCCCTAACCCTGATCCTTAAACTCACTCAGCAACCCCCCTGACTGGCTGGCCTCCTGTGGCGCTGTGGCCCGAGCCGAACGCCGGGGCCCGAGGGTTATGGGTTTATTAGGTTAGGTTAGGGGTTTAGGGTTTAGGGGTTTAGGACGTTTGCAAGTGCTTGCAAGTGGAACTCAAGCAGTTTGTGTTGTCGTATGAAGTCACGACGAGCAGCTGGTCCACCAGCAAAATCCAGCAGAGTTTGGGTGTTGGGAGCAGTCCGCAGGGGCCACCGCCTGGTGGTGACACGGGAGGTCCGATGGATGTTGATCGTGTTTCAAAGGGGAAGGGCAAACATGAGAAGGGCGCCGGGAAGGGAAAGGATCGAAAAGGAAAAGTGGATTGGCAGCATGAAAGGCAACAGAATCCCAAAGGAAAGCCGGGTGGAAAGGGCCGCGATGGAGGAAAGAAGGGCAAGGGAGGCAATCAACATCCCAATCAGGCAAAGGCGGGGCAGCAGAAAGAAACTCGTTCGTGCCACATTTGCAAGAAGCCAGGACATCTTGCGAAAGACTGTTGGCAGGCGAAGGGCGGAAAGGGCCGGGGCAAGCATGTGAATCAGGCTGCCGACACTGCCAGTGCACAGCATGACACAGTTTCAAGCGGTGCCAGCAATGTTGGAGCCTCATCGAGCGTTTCTGGCGCTGTGAGGCAAGTGCAAGTTTTCGAGCTTGGAGGCGAGCCGTGTGACGTCGCCAGCTGGTTCGCAGGAGGACATGTGCGTGCTGTGACATGTGCCGATGCAAGCTTGAAGCCCCGGACGATCCAGTGCCCCACAGGTGTAGAGACCTTAGCAAGCCCGAGCGTTGCCTGTGTAGATGTTGAGTGCTTGAGCAGCCCTGGATTCGAGTGCGTTGCAGCCCTCAGCATAGTGCTGAGCAAGCTTGAAGCCCGGGACGATCCAGTCCCCACAGGTGGTCCTTTTTGTGATGTGTGCAGCGTGTCCGAGTGTCATCATAATGACCTGTGCTGCATCGTTGAGTGTCCCTGGCAAGGCCTGAAAGGTGAGTCCCAGAGCCCCAGTTCCCTGGCACTTGTGTTGGTTCCGAGCATCCGAACTTGTCCGAACACGGAGGGCCTGAGACATTCGACATGTCTGAGAGTGATGCAAAGGGCTTATGGAGTTACAGTGCTGATGTTCACAACATGAGCTGGGATCCTGGCGTGGAGTCATGCTGCTTTGTGTGCGCTGTGCAGTCCCTCGATACCGTGCCGTCAGAAGCTGACATGACTGATGTCATATTGGACTGAGGAGCTGACATGAGCTGCCTTCCACTGTCCTATGGCAAGTATGGGACCAGCCAAGGTGCAGCCAGCTTGGGTTTGCGTGATGCACAGGGCGAGTCGTTGGCGGTGCAAGATTTCAGAGAGGTTTCGTTTGTTGTGCATGACGAAACGGGCGAGCCTGTCATCTGGAAAGAAGTGTGTGCCATTGCTCCCGTGACTCAGCCCTTGTTGTGCAAAGGCAAGCTCACGCGTTCAGGTTGGTGGCCGCAACGGGATCCCTACATGTGCATGGAGCATGACAGTGGAGTGAGAGTCCCAATGAGCTTCCGAAGGAACTCGCTGTGTGTGCGTGCGTCCATCTTTCGTGTTGGTGGGGAAGAAGTTGCTCCAGCCCCGCATCCTGAGGAGAGTCAAGTCAGGTTCGTGCAAGCTCAGGTGGATGCCAGCAGGTCAGAGGCAACATATGGGTGGCAAATGACCGAGCAAGGCCAGATGCTGTATCGGGGTCGAGGAAAACACTTCGTTGATCCTTCGCTTGTTGCACCCATCGGATGTTGGCCCTGCCGCACCACGCTTGGTGAGGCCATGCAGGACAGGCCAAACTGAGTGGCTGTTGCTTGAGTTCTGTCGTGCATGGGGGGAACTGGGTGATCCAGTGGCTGAGCTCCCCAATGGCGAGTGCGAAATCATCTGCATGTTGAGCTCTGGACATGAAGCCCCGGAAGACATGAAGTTTGTCCCGAATCGACGCCTTGATCACTTCATCAACTGGAGCGGTTTGCAACCTTATGTCGAGCCAGATCCTGAGGGATCCGACTATGAGATGAGTGAGTTGGGTCCCGATGATGCCGAGCCCGGAGCGGTCTCCGTTGAACCATCGATTGAGCCCATACCTGATGTTGAAGTGATCCCTGTTGAGTCTGAGGAGGCACGCGGTGGCCGAAGCACACTTGTGTTTGATGGTGTCGAGCTGTCGTTGCAGTCAACCTTGTTTGCCATCCGGGCAGCTTGCAAGTCCGCTGGTGTCTCTGTCTCAGGCAGCAAAGATGCCTCGACCGGTTGCGTGGCTACATCGACAAACAGAACATCGCCTTGGGAAGTGAGGTTGCTCAGACAGTTGAGAGTGAAGGCGTGAGAGTGGCTGAAGGCCAGAGGCTCATCAAGGAACCCTCCGAAGCCGAGAGGCGTCTGCATGAGCTTACACACTGGCCATACATGCCTTGGTGCAGCCACTGCTTGAGCATGAGAGGTGTTGAGGACAAGCATGTGAAGATTCCCTTGAGTCCCGATCGTGCAACCCCTGTCGTGAGCTTTGACTACTGCTACACGGGTGTGAGCAGTGAGCAGCCGAGTGGTCATGAACGCAAGTTGACCGTCCTTGTTGCCCATGATACTGGAACAGGTTCGTTGCTAGGTTTGCCGGTTGCCAGCAAAGGAAAGGAGGACTTGAGGTTCACTGCCGTTGAGCTCACGAGGTTCATCCAGAACCTAGGGCACAACTCCGTGTGTCTTCAGACAGACAACGAGCCATCTACCCTGGCCTTGCAAGACCTCATCGTGGGTGTGCGTACCCGTCTTGGATTTCAGACCCTGATCCGAAATGCCCCAGTGGATTCGCGTGCAAGCAAAGGACATGTTGAGAAAGCCGTCGACTTAATCAGAGGATTGTCCAATGTCCTGTTGGATCAAGTTCGAGCCCGATATGACCTTGCCGCTGAAGCCATCGGACCTGAGCATCCGTTGATGGCATGGAGCTATGTGCATGCAAGTTACATCCTGAACAGGTTCGGTGTGCATGGCGGGGCAACCGCCTTCGAGCGCTGCACGGGGTACCGGTTTTCGGGTAAGTTAGCCATGTTCGGGGAGCCCGTTTGGGGTTTTAGGCGAGGAAAGGCCAAGGGTGATCGCAAGTGGCACCGCGCAGTGTTCTTGACCAAAACCACCAGCAATGACATGCGTGTCCTGATGAGTGCACAGGGAGTGTGGACAACCCGGTCCATTCGCCGAAACGCCAAGCCTTGGGTTGAGGAAAAGAATCTGGTTCTAGAGAGTAAGGGTTTCCCCTGGAATTACCAGTTAGGGGTTTTAGGTAGTAAGACCTTTCCCCAACCTAAGCACCGCGTGGCAAAGCCTGCCGAGGAGGCAAAACCTGTGTTCGAGCAGAGGGGATGCCAGCCTTGAATCCTGTGCCAGCTTCAGTGCCCGAGAGCGCTCCAGCTTCTCGGAAGACCCTCTTGCTTGATCGTCCTGAGCGTGTGCCACAAAGCGTGTTGCCAGATCTTCCACGTCCAGCGAACGCATCCCCCATGGATGTTGCCGGCTCTGACCCGAGCTCCTCATCTTCATCTTCCAGTCCATCCTCGCCTGAAGGGTCTGCCAGACCAGCCGCCGATGCAGAGATGGTGAACGATGTTGCCAAACGTGTTCAGGAGGCAGAGCAGGCGAGTGCTGAGGCGCCTGGAGGACAGGCGCACAAGTACCAGCGAGTGGCCCGGATCGGTGCCAGCGAGTACCCGATCAATGACGAGCTTCTTGAGTCAGCCCCCGAATGGGAAGATGCTGCTGTGTATATGGACATGAGCGATGAAGTCAATGCAGAATGGGATGTCCATGCAAAAGACGATGTGGAAGCCCTGGACAGCGAGGCAAGACTGTGGTTCGATGAAATTCCTGATCTGTCCGAGCAGGATTTGAGCGAGCTTGACTTCCTTGCGGACGGCTTTGAGGTGGAGCGGCTGAAGAGAATGAAAGTGATCGAAGAAGTCGCCCTAGACTTCGACACCTCAGATCACAAAGAGCTTTCCTCCAAGTTCGTTCGCACCTGGCGGAAGAAGAAGCGCTGTGGCCGTGAGATGTTCTTCAGAAGAAGCAGACTAGTGGCTGGGGAATACCGGTGGTTGGAAAGGGATAAAGAAGGTTTGTATGCGCCTGCTACTTCCTCAATCACCACGAAAGTGCTCCCGTGGCTTTACTGCGAGCTGAAGCGCCGAAGAGATGAGTCCGGTGCTTGCGACTACGAAAGCCAGGTGGGAATCCTAGCATTGGACATCAAGGATGCTTTCTTGTGTGTCCCGCAAGAGAAGCCGATGTTGGCCAAGCTTCCAGGCTTCGAAGGCACCAAGATGCGATTCCTGCGCATGATCCCTGGCCAGAGGGATGGAACAGCAAGATGGCATGGGTTCATCATGAAGTACATAGGCGAGAGACACAAGCTTGAAGCGTGCGCTGAATGCCCTTCGGTGTACAAGATTCTTGACAGCGCCCGGCCGTAGCAACCCGGGAGTGATCCATGTGGATGACTTGTGCCTTGTTGGCTTTGTCAAATGGCTGAAGGAACAACTTCTGCCGAGCGTCGAAGAAAATTTCGAGGTGTCATATGAGCTTGCAGTGAATCCCGGTGACATCTTCAAGTTCCTCAAGCGTGAACATGTGTTGCTCGAAGATGGAGTGCTTGTGAAGCCACTTGCCGACCATGCTGTCAAGATGTGCCAGTTGTTGGAGGTCAGGTCAGGTAGGAAGGTGCCCACGCCTAGTGTCAAGGAGTTGCTTGTGCCCGACGATTCCAAAGTGTTGTCCACTGACAGAGCCGCCCGGTTCAGGAGTGCTGTGGGAATCGCAATGTACGTTTCGCAAGACAGAGCAGACATTGCTTTCACTGTGCGTGTGCTGTCTCAACGACTGAAGAATCCCACTGAGAAGAGCTGGGCAGCTGCGCAGAGATTGGCCAGCTACTTGGATTGCACGAGCAACTATGCGAGCAAGGTTCATGCCAGTTCTGACCGCCGAAGCATTCTCGAGCCAACATGCGTCAGCAGCATGCAATCACATGATGTCCTTCTTGAAGTGCATTGCGATGCAGATTGGTCGGGAAACAAGCAGAACAGAAGGTCAATGAGCAGCGGTACATACCTACTCAACACTTGTTGCGTGCATACGTCGTGTCGCAGCCAGCGATGCGTCAGCTTGTCTAGCACAGAATCCGAGTTTTACGCTTTGGTTTCCGCAGCGTGCGACGGGATTTTCCTTAAGCGAATTTTGGAGTTCCTACTGCAGCAGGAGGTAATCAAAGGTGAGACATTTGGACGGCCGTTTCCTGTGGGTGCAAGAAAAGGTCAGTGATGGCACGCTCCAAGTAAAATCCGTCGATGGCCGGCGGAACCCTGGAGATCTAGGAACCAAGGTTCCGACAAGTGGAACCAGGCTGAAAGCCCTGCTTCGCATGCATGACTTTGTGGAGTGCATAGGTGACAATGTGGTGCCAGTGGGTGAGGACGAGCACGATGCCCTTGTTCGAACAGTGGACAATGGCATGGAAACTGCACGTGTGCGCAGGCTGGTGTGCAAAACCTTGAAGACGAATGGGTTCAGCAACAGCTTGAATAGTGCCATGATGTTCATGTTGCTCAGTCTTGTTTCCGGTGCCGAAGCAGCTACGAGAGTGAGTGTGGGAATCCAAGCTGAGATGATGGGTGGTGGAATCCGACATGTGTGGATCGTTGCATTTGGGGTTTGCGTCGCATTGCTACTCACACTTATGAGCCTTGAGCGGCTACGGAGCCGGTGTGATGGCTGTGATAGCGAGAACTTCGAAGCTACATGTGCGGTCCCTCTTGATCCGAGCATCACCACTACGACGACTTCGAGCATTGATGTGCCCGAACACGAAACTACATGGGCCGAGTTCTTCAAGGTGAATATCTTGTGGATAATGCTCATCAGTGGATGCTGCAGCGAGCAAATCAGGAAATCAGACGACTGAGAAATGCTCCTCTTGGAGATGCCGTGTCGCAGAAAGATGCGTCAACAACAATGAACATTAACGTGCGTATGCCCACGGAAGTGCCGAGGTTGGCAACCACTGTGCCAAACAGGGTGGTTGTCACGCCCGCTGGAAGATGCTATCACCATGCATCGTGCCACACCACCAGAGACAGCAATATCCGAACATTGCATCCTTGTGCCGAGTGCCGCAACCGCTTTGGATGAATGTTTTGATTCACCACTTCAATCCACACTTATGTTTACCAGCCAGCAGAGCTTGTGCATGAGTGTGTGTTTGACAATCCTGTACTATGCAACCCGAAAGCGTTGACTGTGGAGCAGTCATAACTCCGAAGGAATGAGCAATCATTCGGATGGTAACTAGGCCATCCCAATCTCCACAACTACGGGTCCCAGTGACCAAGTGTGTAACACATCTCCTGATGTGTCATGGCGTCCGCTTGCGTCAGTCAAGCAGTCATGCAGCCTGGCATGACATGCGTAGTTCAGTTGGTAGATGTAAGTGTACAGTTGATACTCGCTTGAGCCCAAGGTCCGTCACAAACGTGCATCATGTTGATGTTTGAGGTTGATGCAAACACGTTGCAGCCAAGAGGGCCAGCAGCGTATTTGGGCGGGGTGATCAACATTTTCTCCCGTACCGTGAACCATATTTTGCTTGAACAGAATGTGACTTTTGGACCTTGTAGGAGTAGCATCTTGAAATGAGATCGTGATGCGACATTCAGGCTCAGAATCGAGTTGCAAAAGATCGTGAGTTTGTTCACACATGGATGTGGACGCGCTGCCTGCTGAATCCAGGAAATTGGTACCCGCAGGACCGATACTGAAGGGAGGAAAGAAAGACCTTCTTGAGGAGCGGTCTGCCCGGCATCTGTTATCAGGGACTCCGTTCGAGTTTATGCTTCGTGGTATGATGACAGTTGAGGGTGCAAGTATGGCGAGCAAGAGCCTTGAGACCCCAGCTGAAGCCTCTGGAACTCAAGCCGAAAGCCTTAGGAAGGTAGGAAGCCTGAACGCCCGAAATCCCTTAAGGAAGCAGCGTGGCATGTTTGCAAGCATGTTGTCTTGTGTGTGCATGGCATGGCTTGGATTTTGCATGAGCTTGTTTTTTCTTGGATTTTGCATGGAGAGTTTAGATCGAGGATTGGTTTTGCGCCCGCCGGAGAGCTTTGCTTGGGCGATAAGAATAATCCCAAGAGGGGAAAAGGGAAGGATCAGGCCAACCAAGCCACTGCCGAAGACAAGAACAAGGGCAAGGTTTGTTACAATTGCCATGAAGAGGGCCATTTTGCACGCGATTGCCCGAAGCCGAGGCAGGAGGGTCAGTCGAAGGGTTCTGGCAAGGCCAAGGCAGCCACGGTTTTGCTTGAGCCTGAGTTGTGTGCAGCGGTTCACTTCAGCTTGCTCGAAGCAGACTCCGATGACGATGCTTTCTCGGAGACGTCGCTCGACTTCAGTGAAGCTGACTGGAGGGAAATAGTTGAGCGAGAGGGTTTGGAACCTGAGTTGTCGCCACTTGAAGTTGTCGAGGGTTCGTCGCTTGATGTCGCCAAAGGTCCTGTGAAGCCATCTGAGGGAAATTTGCCGCTTGAAGTTGCCCAGGGTTCGTTGCTTGACGTCGCCAAGGGTTCTTGCCAGTCAGTGAGCAAGGGTTCGCCGCTTGAAGTTGCTGAGGGTTCGTCGCTTGATGTCGCCAAGGGTCAATTTTATTTTAAAAATTTGCATGACACACGAGGGTCCACCGCTTGCAACAGCATGTACATAGGACAGCAGCAGCATGACATGCATGAAGTAGCCTTCGCCGCGCCGTCTGATGGCAATGGTGGCGAGCACTGGCTTCTCGACTCAGGAGCGAGTGTCCACCTTGTGAGCCAGAGCATGGTAGAGAGTGGTGCTGCAGTCATTGTTGAGCGGTTAGGGACCAGTGGTGTAGGATGTGTTACTGCAACAGGTGACGCGATTCAGGTGCAGTTTAGAGCAAGGGTTAGGGCACGCATGTTGCTTGAGACCAGTCCACAGACTGGAGCTTGTGCCACAGTGACTTTTGAAGCCCTTGTAGCGCCTGTTCAGTTTTCCCTTGTAAGCGTCGGCCGTCTGCTAGAGAGAGGATGGAACGTAGACTTCGGGGGTTCTTCTGGTAGAGCTAGCGTTTGTGTTGGTTCCACTGCCCTGAAGGTCGTTCCATTCCAGAAGTGTTTTGGCTTGAGTCCCCGCCCCGTAGCGAGTCCTCATCCGCTGCCTTGTCCGCCAGCCCCGATGTCTTCGTCTTCAGAGGAACGTCAGAAGCGCATCTAGCGGCCAATCCCGATCACCACAACGGCGGTGGAGGAGGCCACAACAACCAGCGCAATGGTGTTGAACCGGGCTGCAGGGAGCCAGGGCACCGAAGTGGAGAAAGTTGCCACGGAGGGTCAGGGTTCGAAGGGCAGCACGGAGAGCAAGGGCGTCGAGGGTTCCTTGGAGACCACGGAGGGCCAGGGCGTCGAGGGTTCCTTGGAGAAAGTTGGCACGGAGAGCAAGGGTTCGAAGGGCAGCGTGGAGGGCCAGGGCGTCAAGGGTTCCTCGGAGACCACGAATGCCGACGACGAGATGGAGGAAGTGGTCGTGGCCGAGACAGCGGAGGACAAGCAGACGATCTTCGACGTGCAGGCGGAGCAGAGGCGCTTGATCGAGACCAAGAGAATGCCCCGACCTGCTGTGAAAGTCAAGGTGAAGGCAATGCCAAAGAGCCTCAAGGGTTCGGTCGCAGGGGCCAAGCGCGAGGTGAAGCTGAAGCCACGCCTGAGCTCGATCCTTCTGCCATCCTTTGTCGAAAGGGCAACCAAGGGAATGCTCAAGGGGGTGCGGTCCAAGAAGAAGAAGATCTCGCCGAAGAGGGCTGCCACGGAGGTGGCGTCGAGCTCCAAGCGCTACAAGGTGGCCGAGCCGGCCGAGGCCCCGACCCTCGAGATGCTGAGGGTGGCAATACCACGACGCACAATGGAGCAGCACCTTGCCGACCACGCCCATGCGGTTCAGGAGGCCACCGAAAAGGCGAAGGAACTGGCGGGGAACACCCCCCGCCAGGCAGAGCGGAAGAGTCCATCGGAGTGGTAGAGAGTCAACGGCAAGGGCGAGATGGTGATCAGCACAGCTTCTCGGGTGGTGTCCAAGCTGGACTTACCACCACCCCCGTTGCCACCATTGCCGCCGCCACCGATGCCAGCACCCATTACCCCGCGGGGTGTGCCAGAGACGCCGCCACCGCGCTTCCCAAGGGGAGCGGCATCTTCACGAGGTTACTCACCGCCGCGGTCGCCGAGCACGAGGAGCTGGTCTGTCGTCACCGACCGGAAGATGGACCCGGATATCTGAAGCCACGTCGGCCTGTACATCTAAAACCCCAACTGTGGTTCAACTGGAGCAAGGGGTCTTCCGCGCCTGGAAAAGAAGAAGGGTTCGCGATGGCAGGGTTGCATGAGGGTTTGCATGAGGGTGTTGAGAGTGATCCTGTGTCTGATGCTTGGTGGGTTGTTGGGGACCGTGAGTTCCTGAATGAGCATGACCTGTCGAAGCTTCATGACGAGCATGTCTTGCGATCACATGTCCCTTATCTTGCATCCTGCGAGGACTGTAGACGAGCTCGAGGAACGAATCCAGCGAGAAGGCTTCTGCCCGAGCGTAGGCCGCGGAGGGAAGTGCAAGCAGACAAGTTCTGGTACAAAGGCGTTTGCGTGTTGATCTTGGTGCTTGTTGGTTGTGGGGCTCTCGGGGCTATCCTGTGGAGACCTGACAGGGACAGCATGTGCACGGACTTTGTGCGTTGGGGTCGATCGCTTGGAATTGTAGGGTCGCAAGAGACTGTGATCACCATGCGGTCGGACGGGGAACCAGCGCTTGTGTCCGCTTTGCAGCAATTAGCCAAGGAGCTTCCTAATGCCATTGTGGAGCAGGTTGCAGTGGATCGGCGTGCTAAGCAATGGGCGCTGATTCTCGGCCACATTTGGACCTGTGACAGCGTCAGGGCAGAGATCCAGCATGTCGTCAGTGAGCTGGGGAGACCTGTCACGGCAGGAAAAATTGGAAGTTTGAAAGGCGACAGGAAGCAAAACTTCGGCAGCGACATTTCTGTTGCTGGAAGAGTTTGGTCCAGGTCCAGGGTCCCTAAATGCTGCGCCTGCCAGCACAAACGACGCTTGCGTCACGCCTGCCAACGCGAAGCGAGCCCCCGAAACGCGCGCGGCACCGGTCCAGGGCCCCCAAATGCTGTGCTTGGCGTCTGCCAAAACAAACGACGCCTGTGTCGCTCCCGACGCGGCGAGCATCCGAGTGCATGCCAGCGCAAACGTCACCTGCCTCGCACCTGCCGCCCCCGAAGCGGGCACAGCTTGCCGAGCATAGGTTTTTGCAGGGTGTTCGAACCCTGGGTTCGAACTCCTGGGGGGGGGTGGGGGGGGAACATATAACTCTCGAACTTAGGTTGAACTCAGGGTTCGAACTCTTGGAAACCTAAGACACGAGAGGGTGAAATTTAGATCAATTCTCATTACTCCTTTGATTTCAAATTGGGGGGGGGGTGCGCCCCCGCCCAACCCCCCTGCTTTAGATTATAATTCTCTAGTAATTCTTCACTCCTCTGATTTCGAATGATGAACAAGAAACAGAATTTCAAGACACGAGGGGGGTGGAATTTAGACTCATTCTTTGTTCTCATTCTCCGCTACTTTTTCAAATCACGATTACAAACAAACAAAACAGAAACGAGGGGGGTGGAATTTAGATCAATTCTCCTTCTCTAATTTTCAAATAATGAACGTTCTCGACTTTTCTAAGCCTTGAGACTTGGAGGACTACAACAAAAACAAGCAGGGCGCGACCTCTGGAGCGGCAGCCTTTCAGGGTTTGGGGTTGACCCTGAGGTCGCGCCCGCCAAAAACAAGAAAAGAGGTGGAGTTTTTAGAAGGAACCCTACTGGGTTCGAACTTTATGTTTGAACCCCAGGTTGAACCCAGAGTTCAAGAGTTCGACCCCAGAGTTCGGACCCTGTGTTCGCAAACCCTGGGTTCGAACTCTGTTTTCAAACCTTGGTTGAACCCCAGGTTCAAGAGTTCGAACCCCGGGTTCGAACGCGAAGCCCAAAAGTTCGAACCTAGGTCGAACCTGAAGTTCAAAGAGTTCAAGCTGGAGTTGAACCTGGGGTTCAACTTAGAGTTCGAACCCATGGTTTGGAAAACAAAGGCCTGGGTTCGAACTCTACGTTCGGGGGTCCGAACCCAGACTTCGGAACTTGGTCCGAACCCTGGGGTGTCGGTGATGGGCTAAAGTTGTCTGGGAGTGCCAGGGTCCAGATGTACGGCGAGGGCAAGTTATAATACCCATGGCGAAAAAATGCCGGGTTTCCTAGAAAACCCACGAAAAGACACCCCAAAAAACACAAGGGTCAAAGAAAGCAATCTCAACAAAAATTGCACCTTGGTTGAACCCCCCTATGCGGCCCATAGCGAAGGTAGGGGGCTTCTGCGCTTGGCCTGTCTGTAGCATCCCGGGTTGACGGTGGTTTCTGGTAAGTTTCACGGTAAGTTAGGGTGAGTTGGGGATTTCGGTGCAGCACAGATGCTTTTGACATTTGTTGGAAAAACGGCGTGCAAATGTGTAAAGAGACAGTGGTGGGTGTTAGACATGGGAACAAATACATAAAAACGACGCGGGCTTCGAATATGCACGAGCTGCAAGAAAGGACATGTTTTTTCGGCTCACCCACGCGATTGGAAACCTGAGGTACCACAAGTTGAAGAAGTAACTGCCTTAAGTTACGAGCCCCAAAAATCGAAACCCTTGTGGCCGCTTAGTCTTTGCATTCCAAACTCATGCCACCATTCAAGCCGCAGCTTAACCAGCCAATAGGAAAAGTTGCAGTTGGCCATGGACAGCCACGCCGATGCGGAAAGTTCTCGTCCATCAGAAGCGCAGGCCATAAATTCAGATGTTGATTTGTCTCTGGTGAGGTTTCAGCGTGGGTTTGCATGGACATGGCCAGGTGGGCTGTGCATGCCACCTTTTGCAGGAATGTTCATTCGAAAGGGTTTCTTGCGACAACTCACCTGGCATCCTAAGCCCGAAAGCCCAGGTCTACCAGTTCGGAAACCCTTTCAAGCGCATCCGTGTCCATGTTGTATCAGGGGCCCCACTAAGATTCCAAGGGTTTCCAGATGTGGTCGGAACCTGGCGCATTGGGGGCCACAACTGCTTGGACCCAAAGTTTCGAACCAAACCCCGAACATCCAGAAGCTCAAAGCTGCTCCCGAGGATGTTTTAACCCATGGCTATTGTTTGTCGCAAGACAGGTCATCTTCTCCCCCCAAACCATGAAGCACATTTTCTTGTAGTTTTTGCACTCAAACCTACACTTCGAGTGCCGCCATCTGCATCTGGGTTTACCTTGTCGTGATTGGCTCTTGATATGTGGACTCAGAGTGCAGTTGCGCGAGATGCCAGGCCAGGCCTCTGTGACGATTACTGAATGTCTGGAGTGTTCGTTCCTTGCAGTTTCAGCTCTCAGCACCAGGGCTCACCATCCGAGTAAGTCAAGCGGTCCTGAACACAGCTTTGGCTGATCCCGCGCCGCAATTCGAAGCCATGCCATTTGAGCACCCATCTGCGGCGAGATGAACTGGTTTTGGGTTCTTTTGCAGGTGTATCAGAAAAGGGCTGTTTACATTCCTGCGACCTCCAGTTCGCCTGAATTGATTTGGACCAACGCCGCATCTCAACCAGCAGCTTGTTGACTGCAGAGCTCGTGATCCTGTGTACCTTTCGGTGTCCTGCTGCGAGAGAAGACGTGTAGCTGATCTTCTTTGATCTCTGGCCACCCGCAGGCCCGATAACCCCGCGATCTTCAAAGAAAGCACGGTTGGATTCCACATCAGACGAAGTCCTTGACGAAAGAGTCTGTAGATTGCAAGGCCCGCTCCTTCTGACCCAAATTTCGAGCTCAATGCCGCATTTGTGGAGGCCCGAAAATCGTAGCTTGCTACAAGAAGAGCCATTGCAGGCAGCTGATCAGGCTTCGCAGCGACGGAGGCGTCCAGCCCTCGACCCAGAGTTGCAGCATGTTGCATGCCGAATGTTAGACATGGCTTCTTGTTTGCCAGTCCGAATTGGCAAGGTTCTCCATATGTCAAGCAAACTTACCAAAAAAGCAACCTGGTCTGGAAGGACTAGGAGGATCTTGTAAGGGCAAGGTTTCGCGTGCTGTATCGTTGCATGGTTGTTTGTTTTGTGTCCTCTCTCACCAGCTTACATCAGTACCAAGTACTTAGTCAATAGGCCAACTTGGCTCGGGGCCCCAGCAACCCAACCTTTGGCCTATGAGCTCCATCGAAAGCCGTAGTACATTCACGCATTGGTGCTCGTCGAGCCCAGAACCCTGCAAAGCGCAAGCATGCCACCCTGTCATGTGCCGAGGTCACGAAGAAGAAACGGAAGGGACGGTTGGCGTGCTCCTTAGAGATTCTGGGGACACCACCGAGCCCCCAAGAACCAAAAAACGGGTCTGAGAAAAACCCAGACTGTCCGAACAGTGCACATTTCTTGCAACAAGGGGTGCGAGCTGCTTTACCCTGACGTTTGGCGTTGTCAACACCTCTTCGTCAAATCTTTGTTTGTGAATTACGACCTAAGGCCAGCACCAGGGGTTTTCGCTGGTTTCAAACCGCCCAGGTGCAACCCCATCGAACTCTTCCCGCCCCTCAAATTGAGTAAGCCGGTAATGTGTTGCAAGGCCCTGCCCGCATGGAAATTTTCAACCTTGAACCCTAGACCCTAAAACCTAAACCCCAAGCTCTCAACCCTAAGTGGCCCTAAATGCCACGAATTTGTTTCTAGCTGGAAAGTCGATGTTGGAAGAAGACTAGTTATTTGCGCAAACACACAGCACTTCAGAACAGTCCACCCAAGATTTGCTAAGCATCGCAAATTTTCATCTATCCCAAACCGCCGCCCTAAGTTTAAGCCCTTTGCCCGAAATCAATGCAGCCCTGGGCATTGATGGGAGCCCAAAACCTTTGTATGTCAGGAGGCAATCAAACATCTTGGGAGTCCCAAGGCGCGTGACCCCGGATCTAACGTCAATCAGCTCCAAGACGTGCAGTCAGCAGGCGCGACCTCCCAGGCAAGGCACAGCAAGGGTTCAGACACTGCCGAGGTTTGGCTTCCTTCGAAAGTTCGAGGGTGGCGGGTTCGAGATGCGGACAGTTTTTCTGCGCCTTGAGGTAAACATGGTACACTTCTAGGAATTGTCAGCGCTTGCGCGCACCACCTCAGCAGCCGGGCTGGTTTCAGCTGTTGTGGGTCGAAGAAAAGACCGGGGAGCAGCCGAGCCGTAAACACGAATCCGTGAACCTGCAGCGCAAGTGAGCTTCGGGGACGTGCAGGCTTGCTGGAGGAGCAAAAGGCTTGCTGTGAGTCAGCAAACATGCAATACCTTCTGTGCACTGGTTGTCTGTTCTCGCGGGCTTGACGCCACGTGAAGCTTGGGTTGGTGGTGGGAGTTCAAGAAGGCGTTCAGACTATTTTAGAGAGGGTTTTCTTGGTGGAAATGCAGGGGGGGGGCCACAGGAAGGTCCCAGAAGGGCAGGTTTCCCAAAGACAAAAACTCACTTTTGGATGGCAGTTCGCGGGAAGGAGGGGGGAATGGGTTGGTGTGGCTCGAGAAGGGTAGTTCGCGGGAAGTGACCAGATTCTGGTCTGCTTGTTCCAGACGCTTGTGAGGCGAATATGTTTTTTGGCAAATGCAGTAATCTTTTCGCAGCTTGCTTGCGGTGAACGGTGCGGCTACTTATGCACAAGACACAGCACGTCTTTGCAGTCTGCAAGATCTTCTGAAGATCGCATCTTGCAAAGCCTTCATGACCTCCTAGATTTTCAACACTATTCTCGGTCGTCCTGGCTCTATGCTTGTGCTTGTGAAGGCCAAGCAGGCGCCGACCTAACATTTTGGTAGTCCCCCAGGCGCATGACGCTGGATCCAACGTCAGTGAGTTCCAAAGCCCGCAGTCCGTGGGAGCGACCTCCCAGGCAAGGCACAGTGCCGATAGCTGGGCGGCAGCTCAGGCTAGTTTCATCTTGAACGCCTGGCTATTTGGAAGAAAACACGAGTCAGTAAATGTACTGTAGGCTGGGGCTTTCTTTGATGGTGAGACAGCGGTTGAAGGAATTCAGTTACCCCCTGAACCTCAACATCCTGCCAACTCTCAGCCGTTCAAAGCCCAAGTTCAGAAACCATACAGCCTTTGCCCGAAGCAGGCTTCGATACTTGAGACCTCGTCAAAGTCTGCCAAAGAAAGGAAGATGGCGAGGATTGATGACCAGGCAGAAAAGCGCGGGGTTGCAGAGTTGTCAGCCGACAGTAGATTCAGTGGATTTTTCCAGTTCCGACACCCGCAACATCAGTTTGATACCCGATTCCGCTAAAGCTTGCACGCTTTGTGGTTTGAGGGAAGAAATCACCAGACTCTCCCAAAGGATCTTCAGGAGGATGTAGGGAGCTGAAAGAAGGAATTGAAACGGTGCAACCTCAAGAGATGATGGCTCCTTATGTCAGCGGGAGCAACAGTTGTTCTGACCGTCACACGGCTGTAGGACCAGGCGAACAAGGAAACACCGGAGAAGGACGAGACGGTGCCCCCTGCAAGTGTTGTGGCGTTATTCCGGTGATCATGCAACGATGGGCACAAAAAATCCACAGGCTTCAGGCTCAAGGCTGGGTTTGGTTTCAGGTCTCTGCGAATGTGTGGCTTCGGGTTCACAGTTTAGCTTACATAGCTTGCCTGGAGGCGATTTTGGGCCCCTGTGGAGACTTTGCAGCATTGCAGTTTCCATCAACGGACCTGAAGCTCTGCCCTTTCCCTTGCTTTTGCTGCCAGGCTTCGTCGCTGCGACACGGAAAGTTCATTACAGAAAGAAGCGGCTCAGTTGCTTCTCAGGTTGATAAAAGATGGGCCGCAACTTTGTGCGCCAGTTGGCCCCACACTACAGCTACTGCAAAGCTCAAAACTAGTTGAGGAGCTTTCAAGGGGCTCTTTTCAGAGGCTCGAGGAGGCAGTGCTTGATGGTCTTCCCGTGGGCAAGTCAAATGCCTGCATCAGGATCCTGGATTTGCCTGAAGCCTTGCACCCTCGCAAAACCCCTAAGCACGTGGTTTGGACTCTTGGCGTTCCTGGCCTTGCACCCCTCTACAGTAGGCCTCGGACAGGTGTGCAGGACTTTGTGTACATTCCTACCAGCACGATGGAGCCTCTCACACACACTTGATCCAAGTTTCGGATTCTTGAGACAGTTTGCAGGGCAAGGTTGAGACTGAGGTTGAACATGCCAAAGCCTGTTGTGTGTGTCAACAGTCACGACCTCTTGAGTGGTCTGGGTCTTCCTGCGCTTTGTGAGTAAGAGTCCAAAAAGTAGCCGCCTGTCTGTTTTGGATAGGTCCCTATCGGATAGGGGTCTATCGTAATCAGGATAGGCCCCATGCGATAGACCCCTATCCCTAGCGGTCTGTCTGGTGTGGATAGGTACCTATGCATAGGCCCTTGCCTGGAAGGGCTAGGGGTCTATATATAGGGGGGCATAGCCCAGACCTAGACCCCTGTCCGCGGCATAGACCCCTATCCCTTTCCGACAGGGCCCTGTCCGTCCCTTCCTTCGTCGCCTCACAACTGTACCCTAAACCCTGAGTCCCTAAACCCTACACCCGAAACACTAAACCCGACACCCTACACCCTAAACACAAAACCCTAGGGATTTAAACCCAAAACAGAAAGCCTAATCCCTAAAAACCCTAAACCCTAAATCCAGCCCTAAACCCAAAAACAACCTAAACCCCAAAAATACCCAAAGCCTTAAACCCTTAAAAAACCTTAAACCCTAAACCCTCAAAACCCCTAAACTCTCAACCCTAAAAACCTGGCCCTAAACCCTAAACCCTATACCCTCTAAAAAACCCTAAACCCTAAAAACCCCAAAACCCTATAAGCCCTACACCCTAAGAACCCCTGAGCCCAAAACCCACAAAACCCTAAACCCTAAAAACCCCTCAACTTGAAACCCCGAAGACCCTAACCCCTACACCCCTAAGCCCTAAACCCAAATGAATCCAAACCGTCCTAAGCTCTAAACCCTACAAACCCCAAAACATAGGCATGTTTTTTCAAACCCATCATGCGAGCATTGTCTGTGCAAATGGGGCCCCCCAACCCCCCCCCCCCCCCCGCTTTATTCTTTTTCGAAGCCATCACGCGAGTGTTGTGTTTCCTAAAACAAATCTAAACCCTAAACCCAGGGTTTAAGCCCTAAGCCCTAAACCCTAAATCTTGAACCCGAAACCCGAAACCTAAACCTAGACCCTAAACCCTAGACCCTAGACCCTAGACCCTAAACCTTAAACCCTAAACCCTAAACCCTAAACCCTGAACCTTAACCCCTAAACCCTAAACCCTAAACCCTAAACCCTAAACCCTAAACCCTAAACCCTAAACCCTAAACCCTAAACCCTAAACCCTAAACCCTAAACCCAGCCCTCTGCCCAGAACTAAACCCTAAACCCTAAATAACCCTAAGCCCTAAACCCTTAAAAAACCCTAAACCCTAAAAACCCCTAAGCTTAAAAAAAGCCTAAGCCCTAAACCCTGAAAACCCCTGAGCTCTAAACCCTACAACCCTAAACCCTAAGCCGTAAAACTCCCGGAACCCTACACCCTAAGAACCCCTGAGCCCTAAACCCAAAAAACCCTAAACCCTAAAGAAACCCTAAACCCCAAAAAAACTCCTAAACCCTAAAAATCCTAAAGCCTAAAACCCCTAAGCTCTAAACCCTCCAAAAGCCGTACAAAAACCCTAAACCCTAAACCCTCGCTCGAGCACAAGTGAGACATTTGTTACCATAGGGGTCTATGGGTGGGGAGGGTCTATCCGGAGGGGGGTAGGGGCCTATGAAAAGGGATAGGGGTCTATGCCGCATAGGGGGGTGGTATATGTAGGGATAGGGTCTATGCATAGGGCTCTATGGCAAAAGGGTTCATAGGCGTCTATGCAGAAACGGGTAGGGCCTATGCATAGGGTTCCACCAAGGACGGGAAAGGCTTAGGGAATAGGGCCCTATCCTAAAACAATAGGGGTCTCCATAGCGGTCTATCGCCGCCTATCATAGGGGGCTACTTAGCAGACCTATCTTCGCGCTTTGTGCACATGTCACGAAAGCTAGCCCCTGAGGAGCTAGCGGAGTATCTTACCTAAGCGAAGCTTACAACCTGAAGGGTGTACAGGGCCCCCGGAGGCTCCGCCACGAAACGCAGCAAACCCGGTCGGTTTCCGGGTGGCGAACACAGGTTTTGGGGAAACGGGTTGGCGTTCATTTCTTTCGTATATTGGGTGCAAATGAACGCCGTTTTCTGTGGATCCCAGGCCCTAGAAAAGCCCCCCAAGTCCCCCAAGAAAAGACTCAGAAACCTTGATGTTGATTTGAGTCTGGCGTCCCTCAAAGCTGGATTGGACAGACTTCAGACTTCGCCTGGCGAGTGCAACATCTGTTGTGGTGTCATGCGCTTCCAAAAAGAGCCCTCCGGAAGATGCTAACAGAAAAGCCCCCTAAGAAAAGACTCAGAAGCCTTGATGTTGACTTGAGTCAGGCGTCCCTCAAAGATGGATTGGACAGGTTCCCCTGGTAAGTGCAACATCTGTTGTGGTGTCATGCGTTTCAAAAAAGAGCCCTCCGGAAGATGCTAAAACACCGCAGAGCAAAGCAACACACCAACACATTGCCAGAAGGAATGCCACGTCAATATTGGCACCTGCGCCAGAAAAAAGGTGACACGACCTGCTGCCTTTGCGTGTGCTTGTCCTTCTGCGTAGTTGATGCCATGTTGACGGAAGCTCTTCCGTGGGGGTACCTTAACTAGCTTTTGTCCCAGGCCCTCACCCCCAAGTTTTCTGTTGCACAGAGCTGAAAGGACATTGCGGCAAAGTCGTCGGAGCTGTTTGACACAATCCTGAGGCACTGGAACTTGCAGAGGCTGGTTTGCAGGGTATCCCATAGGTCAAGCAAATGAGGGTTAGAAGGGTGTCATTTAGGGGTACACGGTGTGGTGCCAGCCTTGGACATGGGTTGCAAGGTTCAGGACTTATCCGCGGGCTTGGTTTGGGGGCGGACAGCGGCTTCTTTCCAGGTTTTTGGGGGTGAGGGTGTCTTGATCTGCTTGCGCTGTGGGATCGGTGGCCACGCTTCGGTGTTGCATTTGTGGACAACTTGAAAAAGGAGTTCTTGACAGGCCCTATCTGCTCATCAAGTTCCAATCCGGCGGCTTGAAGGATCAGATTTGCTAAGGTTGAATTCGCTTAATTCTCTTTTGTAGCCTTTCCTGGCGTTAGAAGTGTCTTTTAGGGTGTGCAGCTGTGTGCGCGCACGCACGCCCCAATGGGCGTGCGGGGGGGCGTGCGTGCGAGGGCAGGCGTGCGGGATTGCGTGAGATTGCGCGCGCGCGCGCGTGTGTGTGTGTGTGTGTGTGTGTGTGTGTGTGTGTGTGTGTGTGTGTGTGTGTGTGTGTGTGTGTGTGTGTGTGTGTGTGTGTGTGTGCGCCTGTGTGTGTCTCGCTCTCTCTCTCTCTCTCTCTCTCTCTCTCTCTCTCTGTTGTTTGAGGTCGTTTTTGCCTTAGCAGTCTGTTGGGATCCAGGCCTGTGATTCAGGATTGGCGCTCCTATGTTGATTTATCCTTACGACTCTAGGTGCAAGGAAAGGTGGCCCAGTCCCATTTGACCGCTCAGCTGAGGCTTTGCGCATCCCAAGCATTTGTTGGACGAAGACGAGCTGAAAAAGCTAGAGAAGAGCGAACAGAGGTCTGTGCCAGCCTCAGGAAAAACGGTAATAATATATTGAGAATAAACGGTAGCTTGCTGAGTGTGACATTGTGTGCTGTAGGAGTAACACGTTTTCAGCACCTGAACACCCTGGATCCCAAGCTCCTCTGATGAACTTGTAGCCTAGACTTGATCGAGTACTGAGAATTCAAGAGAGATCGACATGTACTTGGTTACCTGCTGCTACTGTATGCTTTCATTTGATCCTCTGGCTGCTGTTCCTGTGATCCCTCTCGATTGAACTGCTGGCAGAATCGATTATCCATTGGTCTTCCCTCGGGAATGTTGTTGCCACTGTCTTCCCCGCCCAACAAGTGGGGTTGGTAGATTTCTGGAACAAGGTGGCATTTAGGCGGGACGGCTCTCAGGCAGTACAGGGCAAGAGGCGGGCAACTCTACTAGAATGTTGCGCTGCCGACAAAATGAGTCCGCAGAATGCCGGGAAACTTGTGTTTTTGAGCAGGTGGCTCCCATGAAACGAGTGCAACATTAATTGTTGGTATAGCCATTCTGAGTCCTAGCAGCTGATGCTTCGACATATTGGTAATCTTCGTGCAATTGACGCTTTGTGTTCTTAGGCACATCGTTGTAGTTGGATCATCTTTCATTTCGTTGAGCTTCACGTCCGCGCTTATGCCTTATTTGGGTTCGATCACTGCAGTCATTGGTGTTTTCCGAGGAACTTTACAGGTACTACGTGCACTTCAAGAACTTTGTTGAGTCCCAGGAGAATTTGAACCCTGGTGGTGCATGCAAATGTTCCGACTCGATGTGTGACATTCATAGCACCAATGTTCTCTTCTGCTTGGTCAGAACCTTGAGCTCCCTGGCTCCCACCTCCCGTTCCGCGCTCTCCGCCCTCTCCCTCCGTTTCTGGTGCTCCAGCTTTTCTTCAGCCCAGCCAAAGGTCTGCAAAGATATTCGCGGCCTTGTTTTAAAGATCTGAGTTGCGCGCTAAGGAGCGATATGGAAGGCCTGCTTGGCTCGAACATCCCGTATGCTTCAAGTGCCAGGTTAAGTTAGGAATGGTTTGCAACGGACTCTCTAGCTTTCAGCCCGGTCTACGTGACTTGCAGAGGAGTCTTCTGTAGGCGAGGCTCTTGAGGCCTCGGTGAGTTTTGTGAACTTCAGCGGTAAACGGTGGAGAGTCGTGGCTCCCGGGTGCCCGTCCGACCTCGTCTGCAGGTGGCGAGGCAGATGTGGACAAGAAGCAGGTGGATCATGAGAAGATGCTTGTCGACCGTCGTATGCGTCCCGTTAATCTTGCACGGAACTGTTGGGTTCAAGTCTCCCAGTAACTTTACAGGTTTAGCTTAGGCAAAGCTAGATTGTTTTTTGGGTTTCTGATGCACCTGTCTCTCTGCAGCTGGGATCAGGAATATCTGCGAGAAGACGCTTGGTCTGCTCAATGAGTTCCTGTACAAATCGCTGAGTCGCCTGCCAAGAATCGCCGAGTATTGGGTGTTCAGGTGAGTCGTGGGGTTTGTGCAGCTTGGAAAAACAAACCAAGCGGACTTCAAGGCTCAGAGTATCATGGGGAGAACTGCGTTGCGGTTGTGGGAGCTTCTTGAAAACCTGCAGGGACTTCGAACTTGGCTGCACTTCAACCGGGCCTGCATACGAGGATCGTTCCAGGTTCCACTCCAACCCCCCTGGACTGGAGTTCCTGTCAGCATGGTGCCCACTGCACCCAGGTAACCTCATTGCATCTTGCTCGCACTTGGGCAGTTGACTGAGCTACTAGTTCCCAGCCAACTTCAAGAATTTCGACCGCCTTGGCCCGGGGGGGGGGGGGGGGGGGGGGGTGGGGGCAAGCCTGAACCAAAATAAGTCAGAGAGAGGGAGGGGGTTGTGCGGGGGCGGTTGGCTCCGGAAACAGTGGGCTCCAGTAGTATGCTATGCTATGCTGGTTCTGCGCTCCGCCTCGGCGTTTTACTGCGACGTAGCAAGCTGAGAAAGTCCCAACCCAAGAATGCACAAGCCGCACACACGAGAGCTGTCCAGCTGGAAATGCGCTTGTCCCTGTGAACACATCGTAACGGCCTTGAACATCAGACTCGGGCTTCTGTTGCAGGCAGACTCTACCGCAGGAAGTAGGGATTGAGTTCGAGGCGGTAGGCCGAATTGCCGCTTTGAGAAGCTGCCCGGCTAAACTCAATAACTTGCCCTTGGATGCCCCATTGTCCGGCGTAGGCTTTCAGGGGAGTTTGGGCAAGTGTCTCCTGGGCGGATTTATGAGCTGATGGTGCGGGTGTGCAAGTAGAACCGTCTGAGTTGAGGATGTAGCTGGGCGGATTTCGCAGAAAGAGTTCGACTTGCAACGAGGATGTCATTGTACGCGCCTGCGTGCGAAACCGTTGCTGGATTCTGGTGGAAGGTGGCCCCACTGGCTTCTGAGCTGCAAGGGTTCTGCTGGAGAGTGATTATTGGGCTCAACGGTTTCGATTTTGATCGGAGGTCAATAAGGGATTCATGGCTTCTTGCGTTTTTGCGTTCGCAAGGCTGTAGAGTTGAGTAAGCATGATGGCAGCGCTGCTGATTTGTTGATGAGCCATGGGTCATTCTGTGATTGTGCATGTTCAGATGTATTTGAAACACATGGGTTTTGTGTCAGATGCTGCATGGCAGCTCAAGTGTGTTCGGGGGTAGTGGGCATCAGCGCGACTCGTGTGTTCATGTAGGTTCAACAGCTCCTGTGGCTGAGTGGGTGTCCTTGAATACGGGCCTCCGGGATGAGGAATGGGCAAAGCATAGCTTGAAACCCCAGAGCGGCTGTAGACCTAAACAAACTTGGCTACTCGCCTTCCTGCACTCCTTGTACACCTTCAGCTAAGCTTAATCTAAGAACCTTCAAACCCTCTGCACCTTAGGCCCTAAACACCCTCTATACAAGCCTCAACTGCCACCCAAATAAAGTCTTGAGTCGCTGGCCCGATCGAAGCCCCCACGGAGCATCATATGTCTCATCGAGCAGGTGAGGGTTCGGAGTTTAGGGTTTAGGCTTAGGGCTTGAAAGCCTCCTGAACCTTAGAACTGGAAGCTCAAGTCTTAAAGCTTGCATTCGCAAGCTTTGACGGAGTAAGGTGGCCTTCTGTTGCTGAAGCAGGCGGCCGAGCGTTGCAACGAGCGGCCGACGATTCTGGTGCTGGCACCTGGCCAGGATTTCAGAACATGAGGTGATGGTGTCCTTCGCTGAGGCTCAGGCCATCACCCGAACCGGGTGCCCGTTAAGTTGGCCGGAAAATTGCATGGGGCCCCAAACAGATTATGTCTTCAGTGTATTCGGGACCCGCAAATTAGCTTTCACAGACATCCGAAACACGGAGCCGGAAACCCTAAACCGTGAATCAAGCCTAAAGCTTGAGATCAAACGTGGAAATTCTGAAGACTGCATTGCATAGGTTGTATCAATCAGAAAATCAGACCTGAACCTTCACCCCTAAACCCTTAAACCCTGCAGATGCTTGAAAACCGGCAACCAAGGACAGCCTCAAGAAGAAGCGCTATCCGATGCTCGGATGGTGAGCTTTACAGGGGATCAGCTTGGGGTTGTGGGGGGCTTAAGGCTTCTAAGGTTTGAGAGCTTAGGGGTTGAAGGCTTTACCAAGTACGTGCTGTGCAGCATGCGAGACAGATGCCTCTGTGGAGTTCATGCGGTTGTTGAATTCTTGTTCAAAGATACCATGGCTAACTTTTCATACTGCGAAACCGCAATAGCTTGTCACATGACAAATCTGCAAGCGAACCTGGCGTACTCGCAAAACCTGGGATTGAGAGCAGAGTTGTGGTCTTCTTCGGATTGTGCCTGCAGGAACCTCGCTACCAATATTCCAGCAACGCCCAGTGCTCTTTGCCCAATTTCCAAACTTTTCACTTCTCTGCTCCCAACCCAACAAGATAGCAGGGATGATGCCTTGCGCAACTGATCGCCAAGGTACACAGAAGTCCAGAAGTTCATTGAGGCTGCAGTCGCAAAGCGTTTGCGGGAGTGCATTTGCGGTTTGCGGCTTCAGGATTTACAGGCCTTCAGGGAATCCAAGCTGACGGAGGGCCCAAAACCTTGAACCCGAGCCACTCTCAACCACTCCCGTCCAAGTGCTAAGCATTCAGCAGCACTCCACCAGAACATTTCCACGCGGCAGAAACTCTCTCTCTGCCAAGAAGCCTTTTGACCCAATGTAGAAAGTCCAGAGCCCCTCGCCTGTTCCTCTCCCGTCCCTTTTTCTTCGTCCTTGCGAGGGAGATGCAGATCTACGGAGACAGTTGCAGCAGGCTGCTGGAGAGGCTTCTCAACACCCACCCAGGGTAACCCTTGATCGTGACCTGTGGTTTCAAGAAAGTTGCTCCAGGTTCGGGGAAAGATGATTCCGGCTTGAGGGGCTCGGGGCAGAGGGGTTTGAAATGTGGTGGGTGGCTGCCAAAGACGATGCCTCTTTCTGCGCGGGCATCTATCATTCCATGCAGAGGTTATTGACAGGGATATTCCGAAAGCATTCGGTTGAGAGATTGTTTGGAAAATGGGAGGCTTGTAACATTGTAGTGGAGCTGCGTAGCAGCAACCTGACAATCTCGCGAACCTCTGGTCTGGCAAGTCAAGTCTGCACGAATCCCGAAAGTCCGTTGAAAGAAATCAGTGCTCGGGGTATCCGCCGGCAGAAAATGGCTTTTGGTGTTTGAGCAGTGTTTAGAGCGGGAATCTCACAACTAAGACGCAAGCAAACAGCAAGTCTTTCGATTAGGGCCTTCAGTACTGGTTCGCCGAGAATTGGAATTTATGAACATTAGGAACATTAATAGGAGCATTCAGAGGAACAGTAGAAAGATGAGGAACATTAGGAACAGAACAGGAACATGCTGTTGCCGAGAAGAAGGCTTGGATACATGTGCTGCCCTCCAAAACCCCAAGAAATGACTAGGCGCAGTTTTTCAGGCGGACACGCTCGAGAAGCTAGCTCAACTAGCTCAAGAAGGGGACGTGCAAAACGAGGTGCCCTGCTGCGTCGATGGGTGCCGTTGTTGTCGGGGTGTTGTTTGGAGTTTCCTGATGTGCAAGCTCGTAGGATGCGGGAATGAGTGAAAGATAACCTTCCATTGTACAGCATCCTACCTTAATATGCCTGCTGGGCGAGCAAACCCCATACTCTACCTCCTTCCTCTTCGTGAAGCACAGCTGCCCTGGGGAGCGTTAAAAAAGCTCATGGCGGCATGAGATGAAATCCCAGACAGAGACTGGTGCAGCCAAAAGGCCCTTCTCTCTTTGTGTGTGTGTTTGTTTGTGTGTGTGTGTGTGTGTGTGTGTGTGTGTGTGTGTGTGTGTGTGTGTGTGTGTGTGGGTGTGTGCGTGTGTGCGTGTGTGCGTGTGCGCGTGTGCGCGTGTGCGCGTGTGCGC